ATGATCTTTAGTATGATAGCACCATTTTTACTGAGAGAGGGTCATGCAAGGCCAGCAATAGATTTTGAAGGAAGGGCAATGAGCTCGGTTTGAGACATGCAGATCTTGAAATATGTGTAGACTGTTCAGGTGGAAATACCCAGGAGGAAATCTGAATTTGTGGCAAGAACTGTGGATTGGAGTTGTAGACTTGGGAGTCATAAGCATAAAGATGGCGGTTAAAACTTGTAGATGTGACTATCTAAGACTTGAAGACTGTGTTTGAGTCCAATACAAAAAACTTTTGAGAGGCTCAAAGAGGAAAAGGGGTCCATTATGGCTTCCATGCCACCAAATGTCTTCCCACTGTGCAGTCAGTGTCTGAAATCGCTGTTGTTTTGATTTAGTCTTTCAGGTTAAAGTTTGTATTTCTAAATAATTGCCTCTTAAAAATACCTTTGCAAGAAATTAAACAAGAGTAGCTTAATGAAAAGAACTGAAGTAGGCATCTAGAGACAGTTTCTAATGCTGACTTTGCCATAGACTGCCTGGGTGATATCCATTCAGCAAGTCACTTTGCTTCAGCTTCCTCAGGTGGAAAATGAGGAAACAGTACCGAGTGATCTTCAATGTTTGGTAGACTATGGCTCAAACAATAATAACGACTTAAGTTTAGTTCAGTGGTTTTCAAACTTATCGAGCAGTAGTTAGCTATCTTTGAAAGCACTCTCATGCAGAAACACAATGTATTAGGATGTTTTGGTCATAGAGGTCTAATTTAAGTTAGTTTGGATATAGAAGAGAATTTGTAGTTAATTTAGCTACACTATGTGAAAAGGTACAGCTGGGCCCTCAGGGATGACTGAAACCTAAGACTGGTGTAATGCCAGGAGTTGTTCTCTACACTTCTCATCTGGGTGGTGGCTTCATTCTACACAAGACCACTGGCCGTTCTCAAACTTCCTTCTTCGTTCTACCACTACAGTGGAACAGCCCCTCTTCCCTTCGTTCCACCAGAAAACATCTTGAAGAAGAACTCTGCTTGTTTTGGCTTGAGTCATATGCCCACCCTCATAGCCAAGAAACTGGGGGATTCTCTTGAGCTGCAGCTGCCACTAGAATCACTGTTTACAGTACAGGCAGGGATGGTTCCCCCAAAGAAAAGAAGCATTGTTTCGGGGGAAAAAAGAAAGGTTAGTGGTCAAATAGATGGTCGATATGTAAAAGAGATAAAACAGGCTTTTTAGTTGAGGTCCCATCCACCATGTGTATCACTATGCATGGTTTGGAGACGGCCCCGTCAAGAGTTCTGGGAAGTAAAAATTCAAAATTATCTTGATTAATGCTTGTTTTAAAGTTATTTTACTAATGAATATGAAGTAAAAATGTATTTTACTAATTATACTTTACATACATTTTAATGTGATACTTTTATTGTAAAGTTATATAGTTACTAGTGTAAACATATGTATTAAGTAAAATCAAATTTAATCAATTCTTTATCAAATAGTAATAATTTTCTTAAATAAAAAATTGAAATCTCTGCCTTCTAAGCAACTTGCTCAACAGAACTTCAGAAAAGAGACAAAGGAACATAGTTGTAATGGATCTTATAGGACCAGCTACCTGTGCTACCAACAAAAACATGGAGAGATAGGAAGATTTATTCAGAACAAATATTAATTGCTAATTTGGAAAAGACACAGGTGGTCTTTAGAACATGAAGTACTTTTTTAAACTGAAAGTGAACCAATTCTGTAATAATACAAATAAACATAAGTGTTGTTTCAGAACAAATTGTACCTACACAGTTGCTATTAAGCCAATTTGATCAAAAAGGCCTTACTTAAGCCAGAAATTTCAATTGAATAAATCATTTCTTTAAAGAGAGATTTTCTTATTGCATTATTTCTAATCTTTATAAAAAATTGCAATATCTGGACAAACATGAAAAATTCCCAGAAATGGGATATCAAAAGCAGATTACTATTCTGTTGTAAACTTTGATCAAATACAAAACTGCTTTTAAAAAATGGCTGAAGTGCCACTCTGTTGTTGTTTTTGGAATGTCTTTTGAACTGGAATCTTACGAGGAAGTTTTTTTTTTTTAATATCAATGAAGATTTAACTTCTCAGCATTTGTACAGTGTTGACTAGCTGAAAATTAATGTCAAGCTAATTGCAAATGAGAAAAACAATGTTTTCAAAAATGATCATAGTTATACTAATGATACATAAAAGTATTGTTTTCCTTTTGTTTTTAGTGAGAGTCAATCCATTTGATATGGACATCTCTGAGAGCAGAGATTATTTAAACTTAAGCTGCATTCAATCGACCTTTTTATGACAACATCCATTTAGAGTTATTCTTAACTCTAAATGTTGCTATTACCTTTTTTCCCTGATGGATTGTGATGCATTTACTATTTAAAATTTAAAGGCAAAAATGAACATTCCATATATAAACTTGGGCTCTAGGACTGGTAAACCCCACTATTTATTAGTGCTTAACATTCACAATGGCTCTGTCCTTTCTACCTACCTGTTCATCACTATCTGTGGGAGTGGGCAGATGTCATATGGCTCAAGTAAAAATGCCAGTGCTATCAGCCTATCTTCCTAAACATTGTTGTGACTATTAATTTTATGTCACCTTTCACACTTTCATTTCTGGTTTGTTCTGTGAGAATTTCCTGTTTGTGTGTCAGCTTCCCCTATAATGATTGTGAGCTACTTAAAGATAGGGACTACACGTGCATAACTGTGTGTCTCCAAAGCTAAATATAGTGGCTAGAACATAACACACCCGCCATATGTGTTTGTTTATTGTACATGATGAAAATTCATAGAATATTCATAGAAATTTATCTGTAGTTATTAGAGACTTAAATCTGTGAAGATATCAAATTATCTGATTTATGCTTTTTCAGGTATTTATTTCCCTCTTTCCTCCAACGTTTCGCAGCATGTGTCCTTGGGGAAGAGTGCGTGCCAGGGAGAAATGCCGCAGCAAGATGCCATTGAGGCAGGCCCACTGTTAGGGATTCCTGAAGTGACTTGTTTGGATTTGTCGCTTACAAAGCCAAAGATAATTATTCATTATATGTCAACCTACACTCTAGATAGTTGGGAAAGAGTGAGACTTCTTCCAGGATTAAGTCCATTTTGACACTTTTTACAGAATATAGTAAGGCCATGGTGTTGCTGGGAAGCAACAGGTGGAAGACAAAGTAGCCTGCAGTCTTCTCTGTCCTGAGCAGTTTCTTCAATCACTCATTCATTCACACTTCCTGGGGACAAGATGAAAGTGTGCGATTGTTCTTCTGCAACAGTGGACTCTTCTAATAGCTGTTCAGTTCTGGCTAAATGATAATTTGCATTTTTACCGCACCCTTTTCCCCAAAAGACGAAGGCTTTTACATTAAAAAATAGGGCCTAAGATGAATGGCAACTAACACAACGTGCTTAGTGTGCTAACCAACATTCTGGTAGAATAAAAAATACTGAACATTGCTAATATACTCTTGACCAGCATGGGTAAATACATGAGCGAGAGAATGCATTGAGAAAGAGATTAAAATTGTGTAAAACTGCAAGAGCAGTATTTTGCCCCTAGAGCCAGTGTAATTTGCTTTGTGGACTGCTGGTGATAAAAGCTGAAGCTGGCCCACAAGAACAAAAATAAACCCCAGAAACTTCAAATATCAAGGCTACATTCACCAAGTAAACATTAGTATTTCGAGTTTACATTTGGATGTTTTCATTCTGTACCTGCGATGGATAAACTGCCAAACAAGAAACGTAATTCTATCGCGAGAGGGGGGAATTACAAAATAGGACGCAGTTACCGCAGAGCGTCACAGGTTTTCATTTACCTTTCATGACATAATTTACAGATGTTACAGGTTAAAAAAAAAATCCCACCAAAGAGGTCAGGAAACATTTCCTTCGGTCACTTCACCTCACCTGGCGCCTCGAAGCCACCTAGACCTGCGCTGCCAGGTCGCCTGGGGCGAGGGTGCAGTGAACAGCGCCGAGCCCACACAAGTACCCAGGGTGAGGCGGTTTCCCCAGTCTCTTCCCCCATGGCTTGGTGGATGTGGTTTTAGATACCCTATCAGCCTCCTCAGCTCTGCTGCTCGCTCAAGCCAAGACTACAGCGAGAAAACAGGAAGGGCAAAGCAGAAAATGAGCAGGAACACCCGGCGACCGCGCGCGCGCACCACGCCAAGACGCGGCGCACCAGGGGCGGGGCCAAGGCGCGGCGCACGGGGGACGGACCTAGGGCGCAACGCTGGAGCTCCGCCCCCCCGCCGCCCCGCCCCCTTCCCCTCACCCCACCCGTCAGCGCCGGGGAGTGACTGACTCCCGCCAGCCCCTCCACGTCAATCAACCCTCCTCCCTCTCGCACTCTCTGCACCTTGTTATTAATCTCAATACCGATATCGCCCGGACGCCTCTCCCCCGGCCCTCGGGGGTGTGAACGTGTGTGAGCGACAGCGAAGGCACCGAAAGCTGGCGTCTCTGTTCAGCCTCGGCCCCAGCAGCACCAGGCGCAGCAGCAACCCCCGCAGCGGCGGCAGCCCCAGCGCCAGGAGGCCAAGGCCAAGGCCAGGCTCTGCGCGGCTCTCGGAGCAATAGCCGCGGCTCAGGCCCTGCGGGGGCGCAGCTTCCTTCGGCTGGGGCCTTCGCGTCGGCCGCCGCCGCGGCGGGGCCTCTCCTGCTCGCCCAGGGTCACCGTCCTCGAAGCCCGGCGGCGCGGCCCTCGTCCCCCTCCCCGTCCCCCGATCCGTCTCCTTCTCGCTCTCTTCGGCCGCCCTCAGCGCCGCCGCCTCTGCCGTTCCTCAGGCGGCCCGGCCCGGCCTGCCCGCCCCTCGTCCCCTCCGGCCGGTGCCTCTCCCCCCGGCGGGCTGCCTGCATGTCTTTGCTGCCCTCAGCCCCGCCGCCACCGCCGCCGCCGCCTCCCCCGCCGCCGCAGCACCAGCACCAGCCGCCCCGCCGCCGCCGCCGCCGTCGCCGCCCGGACCCCGGCGCGCTGAATGCAGGTGAGGAAGGGGCGCAGGCCCGCGCGACCCCCGGGTCCGGGCCCCGTCTGCCGCCGCGGCTTCCCCTCGCGGCGGGCGGGAGCGCGGCCGGCCCGTGGGTGTTTGTGTTTGCGTCTGCGGCCGCGGCTCTGAGGGGAAGCATCTGTGGGGGCCTGGTGCGCGCGCGCGTCTGTGTGTGTTTCCCCTGCCGCGGGGAAATGGCTGCTGTTGCTTCTTGTGGGCCAGAGGAAGAGAATGAGGTAGAGTGTTTTTGTGCCTGCTAGTAGGATCGCGAGTGGAGGGAAGAGGAGCGCGTCCCGGGGAGATGAGGTGGGAGAGGGACAAACGTGCGTGTGGGTGGGTGTGCGAGTCGAGACTTTGGCGGGCGGGGAGGCGGCCCGAGGACCCACGGCGAGTGGGTGTGTGGCGGGTGCCCGGCGGGGGCGGCGGAGCTGACCCGAGTCTCTCCGGAGGCGGGCGAAGGTGTCGGAGTGTGTGTGCGTTGGGGGGTGGGTTGCGCCCGGGCCAGGGGCTCTGGGGGCGGGGTGCGTTGTGTCCGGGACCCCCGAGCGGCGCGTCCCTCCCCCTTTGTGGCCGAGACTGCGGAGCCTCGCAGGTGAGAGCTGGCCGTGGGGCCGAGGGGGCTGAGTGCGTGCGGCGCCCGCACGGCCGCGGGCTGCGAGAGCTGCGGGTCGGCGCCGCGTCGCCGCTCCCGAGCCGCCGCTCCGCGGCAGGAAGCGCGTCGGCCTGCTGCGCGGCCTAACCGCCTCGGCGCCCGCCCCGGCGCCTCCCGGGACGCCGAGCCCGCGCGGGCCCGGGCTGCTGCCTCGGGCCTGGGCAGGTGAGGGTCCGAGCGGGACGCGCCGATTGCCGCCGCCTCCGCGGCTCCTGACGAGAGGCGAGGGCTTATTTTGCGTCGCGACTGCAAGCCTTCCCCGGGCCGGCCGCGGGACCTGAGGGAAAGTGAATCAAAGCGGGGAATCTCGGGCAGACGCGGTGTCGAGATCCCTCCTTTTCATCCTTACCTTATGGCCGTGTGGAGGGACTGATATTTTCGTTTTTCGTTGCAAACACTTTCTTGTTAGTAAGATGTAATTTTTTTAATAAGATGATTTTCTTGGAGGGGCGGGGGAGGAAAGGGAAACTGGCTTCTCTGGCCTGTAGTGTGGTGGGATTGGACAGATTTTGTGCATTCGAAATTGTTTTAGCCGGCCTCCTCGGGAAAGGCGCGTGTACGCCGAGCCGAGGAGGAAGTTCCTGGAGCTGTCATCCTCCTCGGCCGGCCGCCGTCTAGCTCAGGCTGTTTGGGCGCGTTGTGTTCGGGGAGTTTGGCTGAGCCGTTGGTACGCGCCGGAGCACGGTACTGCCTTTTAGCAGACACTGCCTTGTTGCGTCTGGTTATCTTCATTGTCAGTCAAGATAGTCATGCACAACAAACACGTTTTCCTTACAGTCTCCAAACCTAGATCGAGCAGCTTCCATTGTCTACTCTGCTTGCTCCTGGAAAGCTGTGTTGCAAGTAGCCTAAGCAAACGCAGTTCTGAAGATGCATCTGCTGCCAATAGGCGTACAGTGTATTTCAGAACCAAACATAAATGGCGTTTGGGTTAATTGTTGGCTGATTTACTTTACCTACTCCAGCCTCTTTATATTTGCATCTAGTTAGCTCATCTAACTAGAACCCTGCTATGGCTAAAATCATAAGACAGATTTGGTCCTTGTAGGCCATGCTCTGTATAATGGCCAGAGATTGCTCCTCTCTGAACCTGGTCTCACAAAGAAATAGTGTGGGAAGTGGAGGGAAGAGATCGAGAGGTGGTGAGTGTTTTCTATCATCACTACTGGAAAAGCAGTTTAACACATGGAGTTTAATGGAGAAAGGACTTGTTTTACAGATCTCAGTTAGAACCCTGGCTGTGCCATATTTCTTAGCTGTTTGACTTTAGGCAAGGTATCTATTACCTGTAAAGGCTCTGTTTTCTTATCCGTGACAGGTAAATACCTTTATAGTAAGGTGGTCGTGTGAATAGAGTGAGAAATCATGTTTGGCACATAGTAAATGCTTAGTTAAATTTTAGCTCTGCCTCCTGAAGCCCTGATTTTGGGCATTGAATACCACTTATGAGTGCAAATACTCATTAATTACCTAGGGCAATGTTGAGTAAGTCTAAGTTAAAAAAAATCAAGAAAATGGAATATTTCAGAGTCCTTTGATATACATAAGGTATATATAAACAACTTTTAATGTATATGAAAAGTCTTTTTTCTAGAAATAAAACGGTCATTAAAATCATCATCAGGTGATTAGTTTATAGAGAGTTTATAATTTTTTCATATTTTCAAATACCCCATCTCTCAGTTTCATTACTTTTTATGTGTTTCTGGTTTGTAGCCCTGGAAAAAAAATTTTTTTAAGCTCTATATAGCACATATATCTTCCAATACAATGAAGCATTAAAAAGGATCAAGGAACCAAAGTTTACTGTAAGTTTAAGTGCCAGGAAAAAAGCCACATAATTATTTTAGCTCATGTCGACTGATTCTGGTAAACGAAATCTCTTGGAATATTTTTCTGAATAGAAGCAAAGTCCTTTCTGAACTTAACTTTCAGTAATTTTCTATTTTTGTTATTTTGTCTGCAGTAGTAAATGTATTCACTAAATTTTAACTGTTATGTGAAAAAAAGATATGGAGTGGTATGGAATTGAGAGTAAAGACAACAGAGATCTTAATTCAACCAAAGAGAATGCAGGAGTTCCATTGGTTTAAGTTTGTAATATCCATGATTACAAATGCCAGGTTTCCCAGTAGGGCTTATACTGTTATTTGTAGTCAACAATGATAAACTTTTTAAAAAAAAATCTTACTAGATTTTTCTAAAATTCAAACTAAAATTTCAACATATTGAGTATAACTTAAACATAAATATTTCTGTGAAGGATAGGGACAACTTTACTAGAATGCAGAACGTCATGGTTTTCATAAAGTGTTGTGAGGTTGTGTGTATTTAGAATGAACAGAATCATCTGCCATATGGTTATATTTAAAGGAAGAATTCTTAACTATAAATGATAATTTTTTAATACTATAGAAATAGTGAAATAGAAATTAATTTTGCCCTTATTTAGTATTTGGTAATTTTCATTAGACATTATGAATCACAGTATTTTAAAACACTGCATAATTTTTTTTTAATTTGGGAGAATTGGGGAGAACATCTCTCTGTAGTAATCATGAAAACAGATGTTATTGAACTAGGAGGATATTTAAAATATTAAGTGGACATGATCATGCTATTATTTAGAATAAGGAATTATGTTAACAACAAAATCAAGGTGGAAATTTATTTAGGTTTTAAAATTTAATGTTAACGTAAATGGGCTTTTAAACAGTCTTTCCAAAATATCTGTTATTAATGTCTTTAGTTGGAAGGAATTGGAATACTTACAAATTTCTGCATGTATTACTTGGGCTAATGCAAATTAGATTAATAAATACACTCCAACAATTTCAGGGGCATAACACGTAGAAGTTTGTTTTTTGCTTTCATGACAGCCAAGTGCAGGTGCTCCTTGTTAGCACACTTGTGACTTTCCTCCATATTGTGACTACACCATTCTCTAGAGGCTTGGAATCCTGCCTATTGCCCAAGACTGTTTCTTAAGAACCCCCACATGTGAAGTGACAAACATCTCCCCAAATTTCACTGGCAAGAATTTATCGCAGAGGCTTGTTTGGATGCAAGGAGGATGGGAAGTGTCCCTGGCTAGTGGAAATCTTGGCCCTACAAGGGGCATTTCATGGTGTTATTTTAGATGCTAGCATATATTTATGAAATTATGTCTAAAAGGTGAATTAGAATTGCTTTCCATCTTCGAAGAGTAAAATTCTGTGTGAGAAGAAGGCAGAGGGGAAAGGGAAAAGGAGAGAAGGGATAAGAGCCACAGGAGCCGGAGCTCTCACCATTGAAGGGCTTGAATGGCAAGTGAACTTCAGCAGCTATTTAAAGATATAAATGTTACAGAGAACATTGGAGTTGGATTCTGTGGCCTCTAGTGGGTCTCTTCTTTACTATCCAGTTACTGGTTGTCATGTGGTTTAATGGATTCTGGCTCTTTTGAGTTATTTCTCTTTGTACTTTGAAATCAGTTGATATCAGGAGGGCAAAACTCTGAATTTCAGTTTCTGGCCTGTAGTTTCACAGGAAACACATTTTTAAAAAAATTTTTTCTGCTATTGGGATAGAGCATTATTATTATTTTAAAGAAATATCATTTAGATGGACTTTACCATGTTCTCTTGTTGCTATTTTTGTAATTCTAAAGTCATTAAAATTAATATACTTGAGCATTAACCCAGAAAGAACAATAAAATCATCAAGAAAACAACAAAGGCTTAATTATTAACTTGTGCTCATACTTCATGATGAAAATACTACATCTTTCTTTGACAAACTGCACTAACACTGGACCTCTAATAAGCTAAATGGATTTTATCTCAAGACAACTTTAATTTTAATTGAATCGTTACTTAATCTTTCATTGTCCAGGATTATTGTAATGTGAAACCTCAGCTCTGTGTCACCTTTACTTATTTTCATTCTAAGAGTTTCGTTAGGGATCGCTGGGGAGTTATATATAATCTATTCCCCAAAAGGAAGATTTTTGAGTAGTCTGGTTAACTTCTCCGTGGTAAATATTTCTAATATTTTGCACCTTGAAAACTACAAACCTAATTTGAGGATCCACTCTGTTCCCATTATTATACCCAGTTATAAAGATAAATATGAAAGATGTAGAAGAGACCCTTGCGAAGCTTATACCTTGTAAGGGAGATCAAACATATAATTTAGTTATTTCAAAATAATAAGTGAATGAGTGCAAGCCAATATAGTATAAACTGTTTATAGACATTCTGAGAGTGAGCAACATAAAATGGAATGGTGGGTGGGTTAGGGATTACTTAAAGGGTCGCTTTTTCTTTTATGGAAAGCTTTTTTGAAATATAATTCACATACCTTA